CAAAGCTCTAGCCACACTGTGTCCATACCCCATTAAAGTATCATACTATATTCTAATTGCTTTATTGCATATCTATCTCTGCATCAGACTGCAAATTCTCTGAAAGCAGAGACTTTTTTCCACTGAGGCAGTCACAAGATCTTACACATGGAAGGCCCTTAGTAAATGGGAATTCCTCCTCCCCTCTTCATCTGTGGGGATATCTTTATCAATGGCCAAAGCCTCCTGCTCCCAGTCTCCATCCTTTGTTCCCAATGTTAATGCTGATGACTCCCTCCTCTGACCTTCTAATTTCTGAAAGCAGCTAAATCCTGGTCCAGCAGGGAAGTCAGGAAAGAGAGACCAGTAAAATTACAAATTCTATATATCCCCCACTGGCTATCTTTTGTTAACCTTCTGTCTCCTTGTAGAAATGAACATTAAAGCTTGAAAAGAGAAAAAGCCTGTGTGCTTGTTTTCAAATGAGCAAGGAGGGGTAGGCAGGGAGAGTACACCCTACTCACTCTCCACTTGCTGGGAACAAAGGCAGGCCCTGGCTGCTCCAGAGAACCTCAGGACCTAGGAACACTGACAAAGCAAAAGCAGTCCCCGGTTCAGAGAAGGAGGTCTCCTTGTGGTTCTCGTAAACTGTTTCAGAGACAAGGGTGCCCCTTCCCCTTTAGGGACCCTACCAGTCGATCAGAATTCCTAATATGTTCGCTACGGCTGCTTCCCTGCTGTTCTTGCCTTTCTTTACTGGTGCTGGGAGCTCAAGGACTCCTTTTTGGGGACCAAAATCCTTTTCTTTCTTTTTTCATTTGAGTAAACTGTATATTGGAGAATACACTGCATTGCAATATGCTGTAGCACAATGAAGTAAGCTTCTCATGAAACACATGTGCCCACATGTGCCCACTATCTCTCCCTGCCCCTAAATCCCTCAACACTAATAAGGATAGATCAGGGCCAAGCATACATAAAAGTCTCACCTAAGACACTGGAACATCTGTGGTTTACCCATAATTTGCTTCCATTCTATTTTATTCTATTTAGATTGCCAATTTCTGTTTATTCACTGCTTTTCATACTGAAATTTTTATGTGTCATTTCCTTACCCATAGTCACCCATGAAGTAGTGCCATCTCCACAAAACAAGCTGAGTAAATCTCCAGGCCTAGAAGAGGAACCTGCAAAGATCCTAATAACTGGGAAGTGCAAACAGTACACATTTGCCCACAAACCAGTGGAAAAGAGTCTGGAGGTCACTCAGCTTATGTGGGATTCTGAAGGGCTTTCTAGTTCAGTCATCTTTCTAATCCCACTCATTAAACTTCCAGTTTTTCTGTTTTGAAGCTAAATTTAGCTAACATCTTCTTAACTACCTAGAGTTACCAAATAAAATACAGAACACCCAGTTATGTTTGTATTTCAGATAAACAACAAATAATTATTTTAAGTTTAAATATGTCCCAAATATTGCACGGGATGTACTTATACTGAAAACTCATTCATTAATTATCTGAAATTCAAATGCAACTGGGTGTTTTGTGTTTTGACACAGCTTATTTTTCTGAAAATGTAAAGGATTCTTGAAATTATCTTAAGGAATTATCTGAGATTAAAGATTTCCTACATCCTTACTTCACTTAGAGTTCATAACCAACCCCAATCTCTGGAGTTGATTAAAATAGGAAGTATTAATACAATGCATTTCAGTTTCATTTTTTTCCCTACTTATTTCGGGAACAGAGTATTACAAAGAGCCACAGAGCAATCTAAATAGAGGGGTGCCTGGGTGGCTCAGTTGGTTAAGTGTCCAACTCTTAATCTCAGCTCAGACCTTGACCTTGGGATCGTGAGTTCAAGCCCCACACTAAGCTCCATGTTGGGTGTGGAGCCTACTTTAAAAAGAAAAAAAGAGCACTCTAAGTAAAATAAGGTAGAATGGAAACAAGTTATGGGTAAACCACAGATGTTTCAGCAATCTAAATAGAATAAAGTAGAATGGAAGCAAATTATGGGTAAACCACAGACGTTTCTCAATCCCAGCCCAGTCTGGATGTTCAGGTTTTATTGATTACGGCTTTATTGTTCCTTCCTCCTGGTTTAGTTTGAAAGCTTGCATAACAAATGAGGCATTTTTAATGAACCTAAGCTAAATATTGATTCAAGGAGTGAATGCATTCCAATTAAATTTTATTCAATACAAACTCAGCTCTCTTTCCAATAGCTGCCTTTTAAAACAGCTTACTGAACCAAAATATATTTTAGACAAATTCCTTTTGTAAAAACACTAAAAAAGAACCTATTTAAAGAGAGTAACCAGTACTCTGACTTTTTCTAAGAAAAACAGATTAGAAATCCCAGTCATAATTTTTTCAGTAGATCACATTTATGGCCTGAACAGGTTACTAAAGTTTGCAATTGGGACATCCAACAAGTGCACTGAGAGTTGGAATCTCCTTTCAAGCCCAGAAAAAGACAGTAACAGAGTCAGAAGAAGAAGAGGTAAAAGTAGTAGTTGTTTACTGTAGTAGTAGTTTAGGGAAGAATTAGAGGAGGAAAGGGTATAACTTCATCTTTGGTGCCCAATGTGTGACAAGTCTGTAGGCTCACAGCTACTAGGAGTTGGTGCAGGATTCAAATACAGGCAGTCTGACTTCTGACTTCTGTCTGCAGACTACCAAGTGATAGCCACAAGGCTCACCTAATCCCCACAATAATAATGGCTCACAGAACTCACTTCTTCCATTTTCTACTTAGGTTTACTCATTCTTTATCTCAAGAAATAGTGGCATGTTAGGCACTAGGCATAGAACTGGCATGGAGTGAGAAGACAAGACAGAGCCCAGGTCCTGTTTTACACATCTAAGAGTATAGAATAGGAGGCAGAAAATGCTAACAAGTAAACAAACAAGCCTAAATTCTGATGTCTGTTATAAAGGAAAGGAGGTGCCACAAGCAAGGAAATAGGAAGGACCTAGTTCAGATGACACTGAAATTCAAAGAAATCCTCTCCAGAAAGGGTACATTTAAGAAAGAAATTAAAAAAGACTTGGAGGAAGCAAAAAAAAAAACAAAGAACCAAACCGGCAACAGCCAAGACAGTACCCACAGAAGAAAGGCAGCAACAACACAGGAGGGAGCTGGGGGCCTGCCAGGATGGGAACAAGGCCTTTCTGGCTGCAGTCCTGTAGGAGGTGAAGGCCCTCATGGGATGCTGTAAAGGTTTGGGTGGAAAGGGCTTTAAGCAAAAGTGAAATTCCTGATTGCTCGAAACAGAATGGATTCTAAAAAAGCCTAGGGCAAGAAAGATGTTCCAACAATAATTCTCTGACACTGATTGGGTGTTCTGCAATTCAATTCAGTTTTGACACTAATACCTAGAGTTAGTGCAGACCCCAAGTTAAGGGCAAAGTTATTCACAAAACTGCCCCCACTTCAGATTCCACTTCAGATGTCTCCACAACCATCTGCACTTCTGACAAACCAGCTATAAATTTGGAGCTTCCCATGACCCCTTAGGTTCAAAAAATCACTATAATGAATGACTTACAGAACTCTCTGAAAAGAACTCTCTCTTTTTTTTTTTTTTTGCTATACCTACAATTAGAGTTTTATCCTAAAAGATACAGATCAGAAACAGCCAAATAGAAGAGGTGCCCAGGGCAACTTCTTGATAGAGAAGGAACAGAGAGCTGCCATGCCTTCTCCCCATGGAATCTGAGTATACCACCTTCTAAGCACATAAATGTGTTCACCAACCAGGAAGCTCCACTGAGCTTCAGTGAGCAGTTTTATTGAGGTCTTACCATGTCATTGGTGGCATGATTGGACTTGGTCTCTAGCCCCTCTCTTTTCGCTGGAGGTTGGAGATGGGTCTGAAAGTTCTAACCCTCTAGTCACCTGCCTGATCTTTCTGGTGTGGCCAATCTGTCCTCTGAAATTATCTAGGGGGCCCATCAGGAGCCACCTCATTAGCATAAACTCAGGAATAGTCTAAAAGGACTCATTATAAATAATCAAAGACACTCCAATCACTCAGGAACTTCCAAGAGTTTTTGAACTCCGTGCAAGGAACAAGAGACAAAGACCTGATATATTCCTTATATCACAGTAAGAGACAGGAAAACTAGGTGGGTGACCTGTAATATTTAGCAGTTAAAAACTAAAAGGAGGAGCACGTGGGTGGCTCAGTCAGTTAAGCATCCAACTTTTGATTTCGGCTCAGGTCATGGTCTCAAGGTCCTGAGATCATGCCCTGCATAGGTCTCTGCACTCAGCAGAGAGTCTGCTTGAGATTCTCTCCACCTGCCCCTCCCCCAACTCATGTACACGTGCTCACTCTCTTTTTCTCTCTCTCTCTGTCTAAAATAAATCTTAAAAAATAAAACAAAACAAAACCTAAAAGGAATCTGGCCTTGTTTTAGAGGTGGCCAGCAGAGAAGAGGTAATGGTTGAAACAGGAGAAGAAAATTCAAAACTGAACCAGGAATAGTTCCAAGGAAAAAACAAGGAGTTGTATGTGTCTCTTTTGCTTTAAGTGAGACATGCCTGTTTTGATACTGACACTGTACAGCCTACAAAGAGAAGAGAACCTTCTCTAATACAGTGTATTTTATTTTACTCTTAAAAATAACAACACTGATCCTTCCAGATATTTGTGCTAGGAGATTCAAATCTAGGACCTTCTTGACAAGAGCCCACAGAAATTTCTCTTCAGCCTTTCAGGGAAGTTATTCTATATTGCTATCTAATTCCATGAGCAAATTCTCTGTAACTTTTTAATTAGCTTAAAATTCACAGAAGAAACAATTAGTGAATGTCTGTGAGTTATTTTATGAACACAAAGATGAAAGACATAAACAACATGGCACTAACTCTTGTTAAACTGACATAGAAGAGCAGGACTGAACATGAACATGACACAGCAGCCAGGGTTTGGGAGGGCCTCTGGTATTACGTCACAGCCTGGATGGGAGGAGGGCTGGAGCTCATTAAGAAAACGCCTGTGTACAAAGGCCTAAACCGTAGTTCCAAGCTTCCTGGAACTTGGGCTGGCAGACCTGTAGCTACTTTCCGCCTTGACTGCCAGCCATCCCCAGACTGTCCAGGAAGAACTTGCAGTCTGTTTTGCATTGTCTGTACGATAAATAGAATTCAGCTTTGTGCTGATTGAGCAGTAACATTTTATCTGGAGCAGTACTCTGATTTCTGACACTAAGGGCCTTAAACAAAATGGAGGATTTTAAATTTGATGGAACAGAGCGCCTACCTGTCGACTATGTGAAGGGGATTCTGCAACCCACACCTACCTGTGACATGTGGGACCGGATCTGGAACTTCCAAGCCAGGTCTGATGATCTGCTTATTGCCACCTATCCTAAAGCAGGTAAGTGGAAGGGGAAGTGGGGAGGTGAAGAAGAGAATTAGGAAGGTGAGTGGGGAAAATATTAATAATGAAATAAAGACTGATCTGGGTTGGAAAATTGTTTACTGGACAGAGTGATATGGCTAAGTCAAATCACTTGTGGAAACTGAAACTACAGAAACTACAGAAACAAATACTAAAATAATGCACAAAATTTTAAGAATTTAATTCTTCCTATAACGTACATATTTTTTTACTTCCCCAGGAGAGAGTGACTCAGTCAAGAACTAACGGACTAGATTTGATTTGTTTGCTCCCAACGCAGGCCCTTATTGCAGATCCTGTAAAAAACTGCTTTGTGTGTGTAAGCTAAAAAGGGGATCCTAAGGCTGACTTGGGGAAGAATTAGGGGAGCTTTGGTCCTGCATTGCTGATTTCACCTCAGCAGCCTCCAGAAGCCCTTGTTCAGGGTCTGAGAACTACTCTTTTGATTTCTATCTTTCCTTGTGGTATGTTGTACAAGAACCTACTTCCTTGTTTCAATAATCAGTTTAACAAAAGTTGCTATAGAAGTAAGACTTCTTGAGCCCAGCCACTGTATCATAAAAATTTCAGGATGAGCAGAGAGAAATAGTTCTCTGCAGATATGCATATCTACCTGTATACTAAAAATACACTATTCAATTCACACCCAGATTGCATATACATTTGGTCTTTGCAAAATCAAGCTCCCTGTCAATAACTCCTCTTACACACACACACACACACAATGTTCACATCGAAACACACACATGTGCACACACACCAAAAACTTTAAATCTAAGCATTTCTGAGATTGTATGTTCAAACCCCTCTTGAGTCTTTATCTCTAATGATCCTGATAAAAGACTGCCCGCAGATGGGAGTCTTAGACTCTCATTTACCCATCAGCTTCATATTGGTCCTAATTTTCTAATCTTACTCACCAAGAGCCTGTTCAGGATTAAACTTTCCTAATGTGAATGTAAAAGTAATCACTGGTGAGAATCATATCTCACAGTCTTAATTTTGTCCACAACTCTACTTTATCATCGTTTCAGTACATGTTTACATCATTTAAGTATAATGTTTAAAAATTAATCTTTTCTCCACCTGCCAAATGTGAGCAGTTGATTTGGTTCATTTAAGGTTTTCAAGGGTTAGGGTTAATAGGGCTTGAATGATCCAAATAACACACTCAAAAAAAAAATGCTTGCCAGCTAATGTAACATTTAATCATCACTAAAACCTTACCCATTAATAAAAGTTATATTTGAGGGAAGAAGAAATAAGCATAGACAAAAAATGTGGTTTACACCTAAATTTTTAAAAGAATAACATATACTCTGGGAATAAGCCAAGAGAAAAATATATTATAAAATCACTGATTTCTAGAGGATGAATTGAGAAGTCATTCCATTCATCCCCAAACTTCTAGCAACACGTGAACCTGCCCCAATGTTAGCTGGCATTAAATGGCTGTAAATTCAGAGTGAACACATAAAATCAGTACAAAGAGCTCTCTTTTTTATTAGATAGCTAAAGAAATATTGGTCCTTTATCCTGTAATGAAAGAGTTGGTGCCAGAAATAATTAGAGACCTACCTCGTCTAGGATATAAAATGTAATATTTTCATTGTTTCCTGACTTATGCCCTTACTGTAGAACTAAAAGCACTGAATTGACAGTATGAGAAAAGGCATCTGTAATGAGAGCTGGTGTCAGAGAATTATAGAAAGATCAGCCCATATCCAGGATTCAGAGAACCATCCTAAAATTGTCAAACATCTTCCCAACATGGATTTGTCAAAATATCTGATACAACAGTTCCTCATCAAATATGAAGATTCATTTGGTAGGAACTATATTAGTCTGAATCAGGCAGCACACAGAAACTGAGGCTGGGAGACAGAAGCCGTTCTTCCAGTGGCTTCTTGAGTTCAAGGCACTAGGCAGGAAAATGTGGTATGGCCTATGCAAAATTTCTATCTGTTGGAGCTACCATCTGTGTTACCACCTCGGGAAGAATGACCTCTACCTCTCTTCCACATTTCAATGCATTTCATCAGCAGAATCTAAATAGTATTCAAAATCTTAGTGGTAAAGAAGTCTAGGGAATATACTTTTTAGCCTTTCAGTCCCTGACGTAAGGGGAAAATTGAGAAACAGTTGAAAATGGATACTAAGTACTAATGATCAATATCAAGCCCAGGTAATAATCATTCATTTGTTCATTCAGCCAACACATATTAAATACTTCCTATGTGGCAACCGCACACTATGTACTTGGGAAACAGTAATCACAGAGTGATTTCTCTTCAGGAGATTATAATCAGGTGAGAAAGACCTTTCATTCTATCTTTCTTAGAACAATGCAGCTACATCAATAGGATAACAATCCAAATTAATGGTTGTGACAGGCAAAAAAATGAACTGCATATTTATCAATATAATATCCACTCCAAATTGCAGCCTTTGTATAAAAAATTCACATTATGATAACACAAGACATAAATAAAAAATGGTGTTTTCTGAATTCCACTATAAACCTAGCTTTAAAGTTCAGAGAGATGTTCTAACAAGTATAATCATATTTTAAGAAATGTAATATACTAAATGTCTATGCATCATCATCTTACATGTGGAATAAGGAACAACATGGACTCAGGAAATAGTGGACTTAATACAAAATGAAGGTGATATTGACAAATGTCAACGAGCACCTACTCATATACGAATTCCTTTCATCGAATGGATAATCCCATTCATAGGATCTGGTAAGTATTGAAAAGCCACACTTGACTAAGGTCTGAAATATACACTTAGGATTTTTACTATCACGTAGCCCTCTCAAAATTCTAGGCATTTGGGGCGCCTGGGTGGCTCAGATGGTTAAACGTCTGCCTTTGGCTCAGGTCATGATCCCACTGGGGTCTGGGATCGAGCCCCACATCGGGCTCCTGACTCAGCGGGGAGCTTGCTTTTCCCTCTCCCTTTGCCTCTCCCCCTACTCGTGCTCTCTATCTTTGTGTCTCAGATGAATAAATAAAATCTTTAAAAAAAATTCTAGGCATTAAAGCTGAAAAAACTAATAGAAAAGACATAAGAATTAATATAAGCACTTTGAAAAACTAGAAAAAATTAAATTCTGGGCATTCAAGCAATTACTAATGAATTCTGTGACTTTGCATTTTTTTAACTATGTCTGGCCATTGTTGTACTCCAGACATTTTCTAATGGAATTACTGCTTATACAAAAGTAAGTTAAGTTCTTATTCTACGTTAGAAATTAATTTTATTCCACAAGGATGAGTCCAAGTAAAATAATTCCATGGTGGAAGAGTTTGAATTTTTTAGGTTCTTATTTATTTAGTTTCTTGTTTGTTATGGTTAAAAACTGTTCCAGCTAAAAAAAAAATCATTTATAGGCTAGAAATATTCTCTCAGGTCAAATTTACAGTTATAGGGCTCTCACAGATGACTTGAATTGTTCAATTGTTCCTAAAATAGTAATAATGGAAGCAGCAAGATTTTGAAGCAAATAGAAATAGTGGGAAGTGATCAAAAATCAATTTTACAGGTTTGGACCGAGCTAATGAAATGCCCTCACCACGGACCCTGAAAACACATCTTCCCATCCACTTGCTGCCACCGTCCTTCATAGAAAAAAACTGTAAGGTAAAAAGCAAAGGAATTCACAGTTTACTCCTTAGAACAATCTTAGAGTGGTCTTCAATTTCCTCTTAAAACACTTTACTTTTTGGAGCACCTGGGTGGCTCAGTTGGTTAAGCATCTGATTCTTGGTTTCAGCTCAGGTCATGATCTCAGGGTCTTAAGATCAAGCCCCACATCAGGCTCTATGCTCAGAGTGTGGTCTGCTTGAGATTCTCTCCCTCTCCCTCTGTCCCTCACCTCTCTCTCTCTCTCTTTCTCAGAAACAAATAAATAAAATATCTTTAAAAAAAAAAACACTTCCCTTGTTAAAAAACAGAGAGTCCATCTCTTCACAATAATCAATATCCAAATTGATTTGAATCCTTTTCAAGTCCCACAAAAACCAAGATCACAAGAATACAGCATCAGAAAATCTCATCTGTATGGAATGTATCCACTTGAACATATTTTGTAGGGGTAATAACTACATATAAGTCTAATCCTATTTTTGCTTCTTTCTCTCCTCCTGCCATTCCTAGATAATCTATGTAGCAAGAAATCCAAAGGACAATATGGTATCTTATTACCATTTCCAAAGAATGAATAAAGCTCTTCCTGCTCCAGGAACCTGGGAAGAGTATTTTGAGAATTTTCTGGCTGGGAAAGGTAAGAGAATTCAGCTTTGCTTCCTTCCTTTCTCAAAATCCTCAAACACTTTAAAAGGAAAGAATCATTTCCTTAGAACAGCCAGGGTTCTGCTTGCTTTACTGTGAAGAAATCATCAGTGTGATACTCTCCCTCTCTTTAGAAACTCTCCTTTCAGTGGAATATTTGTTGGGCTTCTGTTATTCATTACCCTGTTTTTCATCCCTCCTTGCAGTGTGCTGGGGTTCTTGGCATGACCATGTGAAAGGATGGTGGAAAGCCAAAGACCAACACCGCATTCTCTACCTCTTCTATGAGGACATGAAGAAGGTGAGGGGCAATGCTATCTAATGTGTTCCCATTGGACCATAAGACATTTAGGTAATAATATATGGACCCCACTGGGGACTCACAGATTGAAACAGGGAATAGAAAATGCTACATTTCATTAACTACTGCTGTCCATGCATCAAAGCACATATGGCATATCATGAGTTTACATATCACATAGTTTCATCTCTAATTTCCTGGTGCTCCCGAGTATATCCCATATGGTACACCTTTTCCAGATAGGCAAAATATGAGTAATACCTTTTTTCCTCTTTCATGTCTACTTTAAAATTCTGTTTAGAAAGGAAAACATTTTCTAGTACATTTTGGGTTTTTTCATTAGTACTTGAGAAATGTTATAATTTCAAGAAATGGTTTAAGAAATTAGGATGTAATGGAAAATACTAATTATTTAGATGAATTCAAGTTCTGGCTTTACCACCTACTGCCAATTATTCTTGGTGAGGACACTTAACATCTTAGAGACTTACTTAGTTTCCCTAAATGCAAAAACTAGGTAGTAATATATACTCTTCCAAGATCTAATATGAGGACTAAATAAGATGATGTTCATGGGAGTTACTATATAATATATATTATCATTATACTATATAGTATATATAATGATATACTATCATTATATTATAAATGATAATATGCTAAATACTATCTGTGATTTAACTAAATACAAGGGTCCACGAAAATTACAGTCTTTGTTCTTCAATTTATCATTGAAAGCCTTGGTACTCAAAAGGTGCTTCACAGATTAGCTGCATGGGGCTCTCAGAGACCACATCAGGCCTGATAAATCAGAATGTGCACTTTATAAGATGCCTAGGGTATTTGTGGGCACATTAGTTTAGATGCACAACTCCTAAGTTCGGTCACTGCTGGGCCTCATCTAGTTGTTTCCACAGAATATCGAAAGAGTGAAACAGCATAATTTTTCTATTTTTTTAGTTGAGATATAATAGACATTTAACATTGTATTAGTTACAGGTGTACAACATGATTTAATATTTGTATATATTGTGACATGAGCACCACAACAAGTCCAGTTAACATCTATCACCACACAGTTACAGAATTTTTTTACTTGTGATGAGAATTCTTAAGATCTATTTTCTTAGCACCTGTCAAATATACAACACGGTATTATTAACCATAGTGACCATGCTGTACATTACATCCCCAGGATTTACTTACTTTATAACTGGAAGTTTGTATCTTTTGACCCCCTTCACCCATTTTGCGCACCCCAACTGCCACCCCCCACTCTCACTTCTGGCAACATCAATCTCTTCTCCGTATCTATGAGTTTAGTTGTTTTGCTTAGATGCCACTCTATAGTTTTTTCAAACAGAAAAAGTCAGACATATTCCTATTTTAGTGTGACGAGTTATCTACTCACAGAATTCTAGATTTAGATACTCAGTTAAATATTGTGGCAGGAAGTTGTATGCTATAAGGGGGGAGTTTCCCTTTCATGAGTAGATATGAGAAACTGAGGAAGCCAAAGAAGGAAGGGTTCTATTAAACTTGGAATAGGAAAACTCCATGTAGGTGATGCTTATCTACCATATGTATCATAGCAGTGTCAAAGAAAGATATATCACCAAGAATGATGCCCTTTTAACAAGGTACATCCTAATGTATTATGAATGCCAGGAAGAAACTTTATTGAGCAGGTAGTCTAACCTCAGAGTCCCTAGAGCCCTTTTAAATATATCTGTGATCATGTTCTGGAATGTCCCCTGAATAGTCACACAAAGCTCAATATTCTCACCACTCTTGCTGATTCCTAGTCTATGTGAGGCCAATTAAATTAAGTACTACTTTTGACATAGAAGCTTTTCAAGCAGGAGACACAGTTGTCAGGCTAAACCTTTCCACTTTCCCTCCCCTACCATTCCTTCTAAAGATAGGGACTTCCCATAGCCACAGCTCCTCAGGGTTGTGTGTCCCTCTGATGAGGAGACATTGGAACTGAGCTCCTCTCAGGGATACATAAATACCTGAACATGCTGGGTAGTAGACTTACTAGCCATGGGTGCCTCTTGAGTACCTCATGGGTGCAAAATAGTCATCTCTCATTTTCTTGCTACCACTGACTGCCACCACTGAGATGGTCTGGGACATTTCTATCAATGTCATAAATAGGACACACCCTACTTAAATTGTCTGCCCCTATGCTTCTGCAATGTCTTTGTTCTTATCATCAGTCTGACTCTCTGATACACATTTGGCTGACCAAGACTTCTCCCATAACTGACTTGCATGGGACACTTGGGCATAACTCTTAGTGAAGCATTCTCCATGCACTGCATGTCATTGTATAGTGAATGTTTCTCTAATACCACTCAGTTTTTGCTTCCATGTTAGAGCAAGAAAAGCTTAGTAATTCCAGTTAATAAAAAAGAGAACAATATGGGCCATAATGTTAAAATGAGTCATTTCTGGATAGTTTGAGTATTTGTGAGAGATTTTTTTAAATATTTTATTTATTTATTTATTTGAGAGAGAGAGTGAGTGCATGAGAGCAGGGGGATGGGCAGAGGGAGAAGGAGAGAATCCCAAGCAGACTCCACACTAAGCATGGAGCCCAACACGGGGCTCAATCTCACAACCCTGAGATCATGACCTGAGCCAAAACCAGGAGTTGGACGCTTAACTGACTGAGCCACCCAGGTGCCCCTAAGATTTTTTTTTTAATTTTAACTTATGACATGTTACTGATTACTATTATTAATTCATTTCAATATTCTTTTTAAACCAATTATCTTATATCTAATCTCCAGTTTACTCTTATCATAGAATCCAAAGCATGAAATTCAGAAGGTGGCAGAATTTATTGGAAAAAACCTACATGATGAAGTCCTAGATAAAATTGTCCATCACACGTCATTTGATGTTATGAAGCAGAATCCAATGGCAAACTATTCATCGGTTCCTACTAAAATCATGAACCACACTGTTTCTCCATTCATGAGAAAAGGTTTTTATATTTTTTTGGTGCAGTCTTTCACAGCTTTGAGGGAGTTTTCTGTGGCTAAGAAAAATAAGATCTATAACAAATGATTCTGGGAAAAGAAGTAGGAAACCAGGAATGAAATGAAAACAATTGGAGAGTGAGGTGTGGTGTCTACATCCAATTCCTTATCCTCCCTTTCTCTCCAGAGATCTGGCTGACAAGGTGAAAACACAGAATTAAGTCAGATGGGGCAAAGAATTCATTTTATAATGAGCTTATAAGGGCTCTATGCTATCAGTTAGACTTATCCATTCAAAAATACTTACTGAGTGGCTACTATGTATCAGGCACTGTTCTAGATAATGTTCAGAGCAGTGAACAAAACAGAAATTTCTTCCCTCATGAACATTATATTCGAGCCACAAACAAAATGAACAAGAATACCCAGGATAATAGATGATGGTAAGCACTATGGGAAAAAAACAATCTGCAGAAAGGTAACAGGGATTGCAATTGGAGAAGTTGGGGGATCTTCTTTTTTGGTTTTCTTCCTTAAAACTATACCTTGAATTCTCCCACATACAAGCCCTTCTCAGAGGGCCTATAGATGGAAACTACGGGCATAAGCACCTACCACACTTCGATGTGCAAAGAGGGCAGAAGAAAAAGACAAGAAATCCCCACAGGCCTGCTGTTTTAATTGCGGTAGTTTCATTTCCCCCATTAATGTGACTCAGTAATGGGGTCTCCTTGTTCCACAAATCAGATAAGAAATTCTTCTTCCCTTCAGAATGAAATTGACAGGTTAGCAAGAGGAATATTTTGTCCAATATTGCCCCCCTGGAAAGTAGAGTAGAAATATTCTAACAGAAACAGGAGAGTAGAGAAATGCACACTGACTCTCTCCCACATGACTGTTTCAGGGACAGTTGGAGACTGGAAGAATCACTTTACTGTTGCTCAGAATGAGAGATTTAATGAAGACTACGAGAAGAAAATGGCTGATACCAATATAACTTTCCACTTCCAATTCTCATAAAAAGAGAAAAGAACCAAAATTTTTTAGTTTATTACCTAATTTTTTGGTAATAATCAATAAAACTTTATTACCCAGACCACATGATATTGGATTCGGGTTCTCAGACTAGTTGATTATTGTGTTTGCTTTTGTTCACTCTTAAAAAAGTAGGGATAAAGCTAGCAGAGACTGGGGACAAGGTGGAGAGTGAGAGCAGGATGGCAAAGTAGAAGGAAGGAGGTTCAATAATTACTGTTACAATCATGGATGGCATCATTGTTGATTATCACTATATTTAAGTTTTCTACAGATCATGTGTTTGTTGACATATTTTAAATGCTTCATTCCTTATATAAAAAAACACTAAAGTTTTCAGAGTAAATGTTGGTTCAGGCTAACTTTTCAATGCATCACTAAAATATATAGATAGTGACTTTCTCCCAGAAATTTCTTGGTAGCCAAGTAACCATCAAGTGACTCTGTTTCCCCATGACACTTTCCAATTCACCTCAGTGTTCTTACTATAATACATCTATCCCTATCTCTTACCACATCCTATATACTTAAGTCTTTCTCTCTCTCCAGCCAATGCTATGATTGAGTCTTGGAGTCATATCTTGACTCACCTCCTTCCAGTGCATCCACAGCAATATCTGTCAGTTTTACCTGTACAGAGTCTCATTTGTATAGTCACCCTTCTAGTTCAGAAAACTTTTACCTCTTGTCCATACTAGTATAAGCTTCCTAACTCATTTCTCTGTTTCTTGTACACCTACCAGGGTTACTTTCCTTAAACAAGATTTTGATTATATTTCTCTTGAGCTCTAAATACTTCAGTGATTCTGAATTTTTACTGCCTGAAAGATAAATCCCATGCTTTTTAGCTATCAATTCAAAGGCAGCTATAATGATATGATATGGTGGAGCTCATCTTCTAAACCACTTTCCTAGCTTAATTTCACTTTCTAGACCACCTCCATGCTTCAGCAAATAAGCCTACTCACTGAGACCTGATCACATATTGCAGGGTCCTATCCTACTAGTTTTATTTTCACCATGTCTCCATTTGAAATTTCCTTTCTTTTCTTTCTACCTATCCAAAACATATAATATGCTTCAATGACCAGCGTGAGTGGTTCATTCCTCCTGCAAATACTGAAAGCTGAAGAGAGCATTTGCTTTTCTTTTTTTTTAAATCATCATTAGTTTTTGATGTAGTGTTTAACAATTCATTAGTTGCTTATAACACTCAGTGCTCATTACAACACAAGCATTTGCTTTTCTGAAGTCCTATACACTTGGTATAATTATTTTGTGATTAAGATTAAAGTATGTTATATATCTTGCATATATATATTGTCTCTTTTATGCTTATTAAAATGTTTGTTTTTTTCTACAAGATAGAAATATTGTATATATTCCATTGCACATCAAACAAAATATGACAAGCACAAAAATTAGTAACTGAAAGAATATATCAGTCAAGGAAATTCTAAAAAGCTAACTTTTTATATTTTAAGTAGTCCCTATAACAGCTATCATTTATAGCTGCTGTCCAGTATACTAGTTACTAGCCACATGTGGCTATTTAAATTAATTAAAACTAAATAAAATTCAGTTACTCATTTTTCACTAGTTAAATTTCAAGTGCTCAGTAGCCACACGTTTCTAGTAGCTATCACTGGGACATTATAAAACATTTCTATCATCAGAGAAATTTCCATTGGATAAGACATTTTATTTTTACAATCCTTTGAATATGGCATTATTATCTCAATGAGAAAACTAAAACTAAAGTTCAGAGATATTAGTTAAGTTACTCAAATAAGAAATATTGGCATTTAGTTTCACACATAGCTCCAACGGTTCCCAAAACTGCATTTTTAACTGCTAAAAACAGAGCCTCTTCCTTCCTGTTCCTGCCACTGTCTCATCACAGGGTCATCATGATCACCACTAACTAAAAGCTGCTCAACTCAGACCCCAAACTAAAACCAACCAGACCGGCATCAAACTGTCAGCCATTCCCCACCTTGATCAAGTGAAGCTTAACAATAGTCTACTAAATAGCTGAAGCATTCCCACTGTCTACATGCTCTGAAGTAGACAGAGCCCTAAGCCGACAACAGCCTCCCACTTGACATCTACCACATGTGTCCAGTCTGAAATCTGTCCTTTATACCTTTATATCTCTAAGATTCCCCCTGAAATTGGGTAAAATTTCTGCAGGCCCTTATCTGAATGCAGTGCCTTCTGTGGCTGTGTTCAGTTCTCCCCCACCCCCCATACCACCACTCCTCCAAGACACCAAAATCCATGCCCTGCCCTGCTGCCTCACATAGACAACTCAGGGGAAGGGGTCTTGTGCTCAGCCCATGGCTCTTGGACTTTTGACCTTGCACTCAAGCTGCTATCTCTTACTTTCCTCCAAACCACCTATATAATCTTTGCAAGCAAAACCAATCTGTATATTTTGGTTACTTAGCCCTAGCCCCAAAAAGACCAACTCAAACTGGCCTTAACTTGGTCTCTCCCCTTCAGTCTTTCAAAACTAGTGATTAGCATAATATATTCTAGATCTAGTCAAGATTATTTCATTTCAGCAGAAAATTACAATAATGCATTTAGGCTTTATAATCCTTCTGGTACATAGAATCTACCAATACAGAGTGCACATTCTGTGTTGTTTTGTTTTGTTATGTTTTGTTTGAGGGAGAGAGAGTATGAGGGAGGGTCACAAGGAGAGAAAGAATCTTTAGCAAGTTCTACACCCAGCATGGAGCCCAACATGGGGCTTGATCTCACAACCCTGAGATCATGACCTGAGCCAAAATCAAGAGCTGGACGCTTAACCAATGGAGCCACACAGGCACCCTGCACATTCTGTTTTAGTATGTGTGAGCAATAACCTTTAACTCCTGTGAAGGAATATTAGGTTTGAATCAAGAAAATATTAAAGAAAATCAAACTACATATATAGAGAAGAAAGAACTAAAATAGCTCAAAAAATCAGTATTATAATTCTATATAAAACGTTAAGAAGAACACATATTCTTAGCAATGTTAAGAGACAATTTGGTGTGAATGAATCATAATGCTACCTGGCTCCTGTCTATTAGTAAAGTACCAATAGAAACATAATTTTTAAAATAAATACATTTCAGGCCACCCTGGGTGGCTCAGTCAGTTAAGCATCCAAATCTTGATCTCAGCCCAGCATGGAGCCCACTTTAAAAAATAATAATAAATAAATAAATAAATAAATAAATAAATAAATAAATAAATAAAAATACATTTCACACCAATTCAAACTTAAATCCAGTGTTAGAGAAATAAAAACTCACCCTAGGATTAAAAACACCACAATAAAATAGGAAATTAGAAAGTAAATGGTTTCTATCTCCTCAGACTCAGAGCACTAATGAAAAAGGCAGTATACTTTGAATGCCACATTGAAGGACACTGAGAACAAGGTAAATACCACAGCTTACCACAGCACCAGAGAGGCTATAGCATGAAAGATACCAAGGTGAGCAAGAGATTACAAGTTCTTAATAAAAAGTAAAAATAAAAAAACTTTAACTGGGAAAGTATACAAACAAGACTAGAGAAGTCATATTCCCAGAAAAGGCATGAGAGTTCCCCAGAGTTTTTAGCTAGACTGATTGATAGAGGCCTTCCCTTGTACAAAGCAAATCTATAAAGACTGGGAGAAGTGACAGTTTTTTTTCAAATGCCTAAATCTCAACATGAGATCACAACACATAAAAAGAAATAGAGAAACATGGCCAATCAAAGAAACACAATAAATCTCCAGAAATAAGTTCTAAATAAACAGATATCTATGAATTACTGGACAAAGTATTCAAAATAACCATCTTAAATATGCTCAATGAGCTAAAAAAAGAAAAAAAGAACACAGAAAGCCAACTAAATGAAATCAGCAAAACAATGCATGAATGAAATAAGGGTATCAAGAAAGAGACAGAACTATTAAAAAAAAACTTAAACAGAAGAAAGAACCAGTGAACTTGAAGAAAAAGTCAGACGAGCAAAAAATAAAAAAAGTATGAACGAAAGCAAAAAGAGCCTAAGTGACTCATGAGAGATCATCAAGAACAATGTGGAAGTCCTTTAATATAGTCCCAGAAGAACAGAATAGAGAGTATATAATTTTTATATGTAAGAATAGAAAAACCAGGGTGCCTGGGTGGCTCAGTTGGTTAAGTGACTGCCTTCAGCTCAGGTCATGATCCTGGAGTCCTGGGATCGAGTCCCATATCGGGCTCCCTGCTCAGCAGGGAGTCTGCTTCTCCCTCTGACCCTCTTCCCTCTCGTGCTCTCTATCTCTCATTCTCTCTCTCTCAAATAAATAAATAAAATCTTTAAAAAAAAAAAGAATAGAAAAACCATCCTTCAAAAGTGAGAGAGAAATTAAAAATATTCCCAGATAAACAAAAGCTGAGGGAATTTGTTACCATTAGATCTGTCCTGCATGATGAAATGAAAGGATGCTAGATAGTAACTCAGAGACTTTTGAAGAAATAGATCACATGGTAGACCACAAAATGAGTCCCAATAAATTTAAGAAGACTAAAATCATATCATGCATCTTTTCCAAATACAGCTGTATGAAACTAAAAATTAATCACAAAAAACTGGAAAAAAACACAAACGCTTGGAAGCTAAACAACATGCTACTAAATAGCCAATGGATTTATAAAGAAATCAAAGAGGAAATAAAAAAAATACATAGAGACAAGCCTCTTGGACAGCAATATGCAAAAGAATGCCATCAGACAGCAAAAAGAAATAAAAGGCATCCAAATCAACAAGGAAGAAGTCAAACTTTCACTATTTGCAGATGATATGATACTCTATGTGGAAAATCTGAAAGACTCCACCAAAAAATTGCTAGAACTGATACACAAATTCAGCAAAGTCACAGGATACAAAATCAACATACAGAAATCTTTCATTTCTATACACCAATAATAAAGCAGCAGAAAGAGAAATCAAGGAAGTGATTCCCATTTACAACTGCACCAAAAACCATAAGATACCTAGGAACAAATCTGACCAAAGAGGTAAAAGATCTGTACTCTGAAAACTAGAGAACACTTATGAAAGAAATTGAAGAGGACAGAAAGAAAAGGAAAAATATTCCATGCTCATTGGAAGAATA